ATAATGTCTATAAATATTTATCCAAAGAGTTCAATGTTGATAGGTTCGAAGTAGAGTTATCGCAAGTGACTGCATCCACGACGACACCGGCATTCGACAGGAGTACAATGCAATGCAGGAGCAGTTTAGCTATAGCAGGGCCTGGTGCAGCCCCTGACGTGCAAAACGCTCTGATAGTCTGCGACCAGCCACCGAGGAATGGTCGGAAAAGGAACACTAACACATGGTCACCATCTTTCACTTGGTCACTTGGTCAGTAGGCTTCGTGTGCTCTGCTAAGTCGACCTTTCCAAGCAGTGTTATATCTGATTCCCTTGCATGAAGGCTCCTTCTCACACTCATCTGGTCAAACATCAGGACCCCTAAAGAAGAAAAATATTATTTCAGCTGTACCTAAAGTCCAGAAAAATCAAATGCAAAAAAATAAAAATTGATACCTCGGCGTTCTCTCTCTGGAATATTTCCCGCTGTCTTTGAGGATGGCAAATAAATTTTCATCAAATCCAAAGCTGGCCTTCAGATTTTTTAGGTGGCAGTAGAGTGTGCGAGAATGTGGTAGAGGCAGAAAATTATTCTCGTGAAGAAATGTATAAACTGCTGTCGATTTGATCTTCGGCAGTAAACAGTCGTAAAGCCGTTCTTTTTTATACCGGCAATAAATAAAATGCAGATTTTTGTGTTCACGATTCAGCGACAGCACCAGCAAAGAGCACTACCAAAGTAAAGCAAATATTGCATTTTGGTCCACGGCATCACTTTTCAGTTTCTATCATTATCCAGAAAGAAAACGCCCACACTCCGAAAACCGCACTTCACATAAAACTCCAAACACACTTCACAAACGGGATCTTGCCGTGCTGCTTTCGTAGACTTCATTATTGCCTTCATGATGCACTGGTCTATAATGAGCTTCTCGCGGTCTGACAGCTTGTGAATATCTCCGTACACTCCACCATTTTTATTCGCGTGCGCCTCCGCTTTTGAGAGTTTCCGCTGGCATGACTGAAGCTGTTGCTTCACGCTGCGAAGTTGCGCCTTCACTCTCTGCAGCTCCGATGCTGAACAAACTGGGACCTCCGTTTGACACTCTGGATCAGCGAAGCCTGGGCGAGTCTCAGTTCTTACAACATCTGCAAAAACTGACAAAGAGCAAATTTCATAAGGGAAGGAGGCAATTTTGTTAGCGTATAGTGAGCGAAATTTGTAGGCGTAGTGAGCAGTTAAGATACTTGCAAGCTTTGTGCCAGACTTACCGTCTACTTCTTCGTCGGCTGCAGTGGAGACGTCCGCATTCGCGACTGTCGCATCACAGTCTGGAGAAAGCTCTGCGGCCTTTTACAGGTGGGCGCTTTGTTAGTCCACGCGAACGCTGTTTTGGTTTGGAGAGATAAGCAGGCAAACCTTCGAAAATTCTTGGCGCGGCGCCTTCCACCATTCTTGGCCGATCTCGAAGCAGTGAAACGATGTTCCCATTCACTGTACACACGTCTGCACGTACGATGTCACTTGCATCGAAATGTTTTTCGCACCCGCGATCATACTTCGTGTCGACCGAAAATCCGACAGTCTCCGGTCGCGAGATTGCACGTTTCCACCTGTCGCGTTGTTCTGCGTTGGCTGGTAAATAGAACAGGGAGACTTTTTCGTTGTGCCCTTGTATCCCGAGCGACAGCCCGGCACACAGCAGGTGTTGGGCATCGCGGTCACGACGAGGTGACCGCGAAAAGAGAAAAAAAAAAGGTGCAAGCAGCACAAACAACACCACTCCGTGCTCACACTCGGCTGATTGCGGACAGCAGCAGGTGGCTTCCTCGTCCCCCTTGTAGCTACGCCTGCGCCGCGGCGCGGAAAGTGCGGGCGGTATATGAAGCTCTCCCATTGAGTTACGCGGGAGTTTCATGACCAGTAAAAGTATTGAGGGAACCATGGTATTACGCTATGCCATTGTGCTTTGCATTACTGGACAGAGAAAAAAATGCTTCTGTACTCCTGTTGCACAGTTCCGACAGCAGGTGTTTTTTCTTTCTTCGCCGATCATTGACACGCCAGGCACGTCGACTGGCAACTGCCGACATGCTTCATCGATCGGCGACAGACAAGCCGCATGCAAAAACAGATTGTGGTTTTGCCACGTAACTACAGTTGCTAGCGAGGCAAAATGGCGAACCCTTGCGCAACTCTGCTCCCATAGGGAGCGTACACAGGAACTCGCCATGAGCATATAGCACATCTGCTGAGCATTTCTTAAGCTTGTCATCACTTCTGTTGGGTCATTCACTTTTGCATAAAAGTGAAAGAAAAATTTACATGAGTGCTGCTTGTAATGCCCTTGCAGAATTCTTTTTGGATGCCGTAGTTCAAATGAGTCTCACAGAAAGACTGTAGCACTACTGTTGTGTGCCACTAGGTTTGGTGCAATGTGATCTGAAAGTGCCAGGTGTTAGCTGATGGAAAGTGCACCATGGGACAATGGAGGGGTTTGTAGAAATTGTGCCGGTGGAGAGTGAATTTGTAGTGGCTCTTGTGAAAGTCATTTTGTGTATTGCACACTGTTGAGCCTCCTGCTGCATCATCTTTCAAAAGCTTAAAAGAGTACTTACGCAAAAGTTTCAAAGTGAGGTTACTTGTGAGATAGATATGAATAAAGACACATGCATCATCTATGAAATATCAATGGTGAAATTGGTAATGTATCTAAAAATTTCGAATTAATCAAATTGGGTTCTAATCGATTTGGTACTCGATTGAATAATACCCGGTAGGAACACCAAACAATTTCCTAATTCTTGTTTTTTAAGTAAGCACCCATGAAAAGATTTTCAAAAGAATGAAAACTTGTAAAAGAGTAAAAGAGAAGGGCAACAATTCTTGTTTTAATCGCAGAATTTTCGGGGTCACGACGAGGCGAGCGTCTCGCCATGCTCTTGGAGTGAACGGACACAGCAGACGCGGTTGTAACAAACCAAACAATAGACATTTATTTAACTACTTTTTTAACGACGATATTGTTTGCCGAATGATACATCAATCGTGATCAACCCACTAAGACATCCTTACACACAATTTCCTTACACTCCAAAGCAATAACACACCCAAGGCGACATCGCCAACGCTTGACTTACCACGCGGGCCCCGGCCTCGCAGCCCGCGGTTCCACTTACCGAGGACCCACGCTAGAGACAAGCGTTCGCGGCAACCGCCACACGCAGAAGAGACTCGTTCAACTCTCGCCCGGCACCAAGGCTTGCTTTCCACCAAGGGTCACCACCGGCACTACCACTGTCACAACCATGATGACGATGACAGCGGTAATCAATGCCACCTACCACCCGGTAGTGGTAACCCGAATTGTGGCTTTTGGGCAAGACACGTGCACCACACAGCGCTAACAACTTTACAGGGGGTGTCAGCACCCCCACAAATTTTAACGAGATGCACGCAGCTCAAAGTTTTACAGCACTATTGATGCGTAAGTTTATCACAAGATGAAGGCGCTCTTGATTAAAACTCTGTATTCGAAAGGACAAAAGTTACCAATCTCCTATCTTTTTTCATGGCATTCATGATAGTGTTGACTCATGAATAGTGTTTGATATTTATATAGCAGTGTAGTTCAAAATCTGTTGAGAAAGTGCCGCACTGAGTAATGTGATGACTTCTGCATTTCAGTGTGCAGAAACAAAATATTTGAGGCTCTTATTGCTGCTGTACACGAGCTTGATCAGGCGACCTGATTGAGGTATTTTTTTTGTCTGTTTAAAGCATTTGGAATGGTCCTTTGGTAAAGCTTGTGAGCATTTGTTTTAAATTAAGACATGAAATTCTTGAGATGTTTCTACAATAGTTACATTACCGTTCGACCGCATGTGGACTGGAAACACTCTTTCGGCTCGTTTATCCTGGATGAAGCTTGCACAAAACTCTACCTGCCTCTAGTGTCTTTGCATTTCATACAAACGTTTATATGAGTAAATGCTACGAGTTTTGCTTCAAACCGTTTTTTCAGTACCTGCGTGGACGTCCTTTTCGACCAGGTCAACTCTGGGCGCATCGCTGCTGCTTCGCATCCCATCAGAGTTTTTTCGGGGAGATTGTCCATAATTTTTTAAGGTTGGGCTTCAAGATTATCATGTGTGGCTGACACTTGTTTCTTTTTTTCGTTCCATGTTAAGCATGTTGTGCACCAATTGCATTGTGGTCTTTCTTGTACTGGACATGAACACATTCTTGCATTCCCAGTAAACTTCTGATTACAATAGCTACCTTTTTGCAACAATGTTTGAAGAAGGCACAAGACAGGTTGCACGATTTAAATTATTTGAATCATGCTAAAATGGCTTCTAAAATAACTTTTGCATTCTTTACTACATCGAACATGCGTGTTGCCGTGTGGATGACGCCATTACCGTAATGCGCTTCCATAAGAAAATGGGGCTGGTGGAAGAACTGCATTTAAAAACATTGCTCGGCTCTTAAAGAAGCTGCCAAAGTGTTTTCGGCTTTATTATAGCTCTGCTTAATTTTCTGCACGGCTTTTTTTAAAATAGATTCTAGTACACTGGTCCTTGGATTGGAAAAATATATGTAGCACTCCAGGAAAAGGAAAAAAAGGTCTTCAACCAATATTTTCCTACATGCTTGTGTAGTTGGGAAGTGTTGTTGACCTGTGAAGTTTGCTTTATCTTCTTGCATATATTTTGCGGTCTTTACCAGTGAACTATAAGACTTTCTGAATGTTATGATCTATTTGTTCTTTTCAGGTGAAAGACGGTGGTGCACAGTTCGCCAGAGGTCATGAGATGATGGACCGGACTTGTGAGTCGGGCACGGACCTGCCCACTGTGACAAGTGCTCCAACTAGTGATGGGTTTCCTGGAGATTTTTCAACGGGGAATACTGGCAAAACCTCAGATGTTGCAACAACAGAGACCACTGCTTCTGCTCAAACTGGCACAGAAGCCTCTGCTAAAGAAATGGTCGAGAGTTCGCATAAACACACAGGGCTCGATTCCTGTAAAAACGTGCAGGAGGAGTCAACCCTGAGCTCGCAGGAAGGATCACCCAGATGTACTGAAATGGATGCCGTTACCCGGGCTGAACAAAAGCCATCGTCATCAGTAAATGATGGGTCAAATGATTCATCATTGAAATGTGTTTCCAAGTCGGCTGGAATGCAAGATCCTACGGTGACGTTTAGTGACACATCTCATGCTAAAGGGGATATTGGTGTTACGCTGAGCAAGCAAGAGAACCTTAATGTTGAGCTTGCTATTGGACCTACAAAAAATGAAGGAATACGTACTCAGCTGTCCGTAACAAATTCTGCAATTTCTGGAGATGATTCTTCGAAAGGCACTTTTGAACAAAGTTCTGCTATAGCAGCTCGCTTGAAGGAAAGCAATATGACACTGACTCAAAGGGATGAAGTTGCAAGTGTGGATGTTTCTGAAGACAGGGGTGATAGTCGGCCAAAAGTTGAAACTGGTTCTATGCTCTTCACCAGCAGTGCCTCCCAACAGTACCACTGTAGAGATAGCACCTTCGAAACTGCCTACGAGCTGTTCGAGCTATTCAAATGTTGTTTCATCCGAGCGAGATCTGACACTGGACTCTACTGTGAACAAAACACAGCCCTCTGAAGAAGTGGATAGTAGTGATTGTGGAGTCACCTCTGAAGGAGGAGTTGGTGTGGTGAGTTGTGTGATCCTTGTTTTTCTGTATTGATGTTATGTAAACTCAGCACTGCTACGCTACAATTCATAATGCTGCTGATAAGCTAATCTACGACCCTGGGAGAAGGTTTCCTAATGTTCAGACTATGCAGTTTAAGTACTAAAATGAGAAATAGGTAACATTTTTGCAAAAGGAGAGCTGCATGTATCAATTAGGTGTTAGTTGCGGTTGACCTGTTCATTCACTTTATCCTCTGTTTTGAATATTCTATATTGCATTGTGAATATCTTGCGTAATCTATCAAATTGTGTTGCGTCTTTGATTGTAGCTTCCAAATTCTATATGAAACTGTAGCGAGGTGCTGCCCGTCATGCGGAGATAGTGTCGTGTTGTTTAGATGTAGTATAACTCAAACATACAGGGGTGGAAGGGCTGTGCCAATTGCACCATTCTCTTCCAATCACATCTTGTGCACATAAACAGTAATTTGCGCGCACAAGACCAAATTTACCTAAGTCGTAAGAATAGCAGACTGGGCTTGTTGGTTTAACATATTTGCAGCTTAAGGCGCGAAAACGACTCGGACGAAGAGAGACAGTACACACACACGGAGCGCCACTTCCAACAAAGATTTATTTCGAAAGAGCACAGAACATATATAGACACCGCGCGCGCCGTCACCGTGCCTTAATGCGCAGCCGCATTTAAGTAGCGTAACTCCTTTGGCGATAAAGAAATGGAGGCTACGCTGACGCACAGATCACCTAATTCGATTATTCTCTTGGCCTCAATGATTAGTCTTACTGATTTATCAGGGCTTCGGGCGACTACCGCGCAGGCGCTAAAGTTAGGAACGCAATGACAATCCCGGCAGTGAATTGCGAGGTGGCCCTCTCTGCAAGCACAGCGGGCGTTTCGGCATTTCAGTCATCTGGCCAATCAGACAACCGAATCCCTCTGGCAGTGCACTTTGTCACAACTGCGAGCACATCATCGTCCAAAAGTGAAAACGGTACAAGTGAACAGAATCTACACCGAAGGAAACGTCACGTTACCAGAGGATATCTGCAAGGGTCTCGCCTTAGGGCCAAAGTTCGCCGTGCAGCCGCGGACCTCCGGTCCGGAGCTGCTCTCCTTGGTGCACAAGGTGTCTGGCCTAGCTCCCGCGAGTGAAATGGATAGATGTGTTTCTAGTGGTGTAGATGTACTTCTACGTGACCAACGGGAACCAAGGCGTCCTATTGTTCGTCGTTTGGCGTCCTACCTGAAAACGAACTCATACTGCGTTCTCCCTTCGGACAAGGAAGGTGGATTCGCCGTCTTCCCACGGGACCTTTACAAGGTGAAAGCGCTTGAAGCGTTGAGTTCTGTATTTCAATGCCGCGAGAACGTCCAGATCAACAAACTAAAAAGTGAAGCTAAAAAACTATGTGAGAGTATGAACCTTTCAAAGTTGGTTAGGGACGTCGCAAACAGCAAATCAGGCACTCTCGAGGTCTTCTTCAGTGCAAAGACTCATAAGGAGGGTTGCCCCCTCAGAGTAATCGTGTCAGAACGTAACACTTGGCAGAAATGCCTTGCCGTCTTCCTGCTCGATAAGTTCCGGCTTCTTAAGGTTGACGATCCCTATCGGGTGAAAGATTCCAGCGAAGTAGTAAACTTTCTTGCCGGACAAGTAGGGGTAGCCCTCGACGCCTTTTCCATTGATCTGAAAGACTTGTATTATTCTATACCGAAAAATGCGTTGCTTCAGTGTGTTCAGGACAGCATTGACCAATACGGCCCCCTGTCATTTCAAAATGACGCAGGTATACCAGAGGGAAAATTCATGGCAATGCTAGAATTGTATTTGAGGTCGACTTTTGTAGAGTGGGACGGTAACCTATACCTGCAAAAGAGTGGCGTTTGTATAGGTTCCTGTTTAGCGCCATTTTTAAGTGACCTGTTTTTAGCTCGCGCAGGCAGGACCATTTCTAGCCTTCTCGAAGGTAGCGGTGTCATCAGGGTTTTTAGATTTGTAGATGATTTTTAGTTCTCATAGACAAAAAGTTCATGGACACCGACCAAGTCGTTACTAACACCTTAACAATTTTAGGCTTGTTTTATCGCCCTTAATAGTGACACACGAACTTTCGGTCGATTCGACTATAAGGTTTTTAGATCTTAGATTGTTTGTTACAACTGATCATACATGTTGGCAGTATGAGCCTCGTGCTAACAAACCATTACTACCTTTTAGCTCGTCCCATTCTAAGCTTGTCAAACGTAGCATCGCAACATGTGCCTGCTGAATGCTTTCAAGAAATCCTGCCCACACAGAGCAGCAGACAGTTTCCTCAAGCAGGTTGACCGTCTTGAGCAGGCGGGCTATCCACAGCACACTTTGGTGTCAGTGGCGGAGAAGATTTTGAAGAAGTCGCGGAACTGCCACACAAGCGAAGGGTCACCCCAGGATAATGTTAAGCTTGCTGTGATTCCTTATATACACCGCGTATCCCATAATCTGAAAAAGATTGCCGAACAGGTTGATGTAAAGGTGGTCTTCTCTGCGCCGTTAAAACTTTCCAGGCTCTGCAAGTTGACTAACCCCTTTCTCAGGAAAGCTCCGGCCTGCAATGTGAACCACCAGAACAAGTATGTAATTTGTCAGAAGGGTGTGGTCTACGAGTTCCCCTGTTCGTGTGGTAGATGGTACGTAGGCCATACCGAGCAATGCCTGAATGATAGGCTAAGACAGCATAATAACAACGTCAGAAATGGCAGAGAGGGCCACCTCGCAATTCACTGCCGGGATTGTCATTGCGTTCCTAACTTTAGCGCCTGCGCGGTAGTCGCCCGAAGCCCTGATAAATCAGTAAGACTAATCATTGAGGCCAAGAGAATAATCGAATTAGGTGATCTGTGCGTCAGCGTAGCCTCCATTTCTTTATCGCCAAAGGAGTTACGCTACTTAAATGCGGCTGCGCATTAAGGCACGGTGACGGCGCGCGCGGTGTCTATATATGTTCTGTGCTCTTTCGAAATAAATCTTGTTGGAAGTGGCGCTCCGTGTGTGTGTACTGTCTCTCTTCGTCCGTGTCGTTTTCGCGCCTTAAGCTGCAAATATTACCTAAGTCTTATTGCCGAGAGAGCAACATGGGCTCGGTACACAAAGGGTGCAGACACATCCATATCCTGTGCAGTTCGGTCACGTCACATTTAGTATCAGGCATGGATCTCGCACCATGTGTGAACTAAATACTATGGGTGTGAATCTTGCGCGATTTCAAGAAAATACATAATTTTTGTTAAGGTGACGTTTGTGCACAGACCTCACTACGGGTCTTTTTTTTTAACAGAGGGAAGCTCTTAGTCTAACTATCAAGATGCCAGTGGTGTTCCGAAAACCTGCCACACTGTTGCCAAGCGAGCACCGAGCACATCGTGTGTGCTGTGATGGGGGCCATCAAACAACAAAAACTGAAATAAAAAAATTTTGTTCATTTGAAAGGCGAAACAATAAATTCAGTAGCAACAAATTGCAATGTTGGGCAAGATAGCGCTCGCAGCTAACTATCTTGGATCACATACCCTATAACTACAAAACACTGGTGTGAGAAAATACGGCCGCTCCAGGGAGATGCTGTTTTCCTACAGTGCCTTCATATTCAGAGCGTAGTACAGAGAAGGATATGTAAGCCTTGCGCTGATGCTTGCCGAGCCTTTTTCATGAACCTCTTTTTCTTGCTGAGGTAGTACACATGCCAGCAATTGCGACAACGCCTTAAGAATTATAATTCATGACGGCTGCCCCTCTTCTGCATTTTTTGATGGTCATTCAAGATGGGTCGCACGTTTCATCTCTGCTTGAGCATTCAACAGCAGGTGTAATGTGCCAGGATTTGGCTAACTAGTTCGATATCTGCTTGAGAAGTGCTCATTGACACCACTCACGTGCTTTTACCTACGCATAGAAGATATGATGTGCGGGCGATGTTATAAACTTGAAATTTCGAAGAAACGTGAAGGCGGTGGCAAAAAAAAAAAAAAAAAAAGACTTTCCACACGATCGCCTAGCAAGAGCGTGGCGAGTGTATTGGTTCTCTATTTTTCTCGTGGTTCTTATTTTGGCTGTGGCGCTTTAATCATCAGAGCATAAGTTTCTTTAAATTCATGTTTATAAAGTCTTATTGGGTTTAAAATAAAGGTTACTTTATCAGTTAATCTCCAGTCTTCAGTTGCTGTTCATTTGAGATGCGGTGTTTTTCACATTTTTAATATTTAGCATCAGCATTTTTTATTTATGAGGTCTAATTATTTAAAGCATCCCTTCTTGTATTGTGTTTTCTTTGATATACTGTGCACTCAGCGTTAATATTTCAGTGTTTGTGTGTGTGTGTGTGCTTCAATTTATAGTAGGTCTGGTTATGTCATCAGTAATGAATGTTTAGTAAAATTCACTACTATTTTTTGTGATTATCAATAAGACAAAAATTTAATTCCACATGCGTGACTTTAGCAATCTGCTTTAAGGCTAATACCCCTGTCACACGGGTACCCGTGAAGACCGTTTAACTCCCTCGTCTTTACGACGACGAAGATGCGGTTGGTGTCATACGGCCACCTTTACGCAAACGAAGGTGAACGGATCATCTCGCCAAGGACGTTCAACGATCTCCCTTTGCAGCGAAACGAGGTACTCTCGTCCTCAGCAGTTTAAAGGTCAGAGAAAAATTCTGAGCACTAAGTGGCCGCAGTGAAAGAATAATGCATTTTAGCAATAATAAACGTTCTTTCGTTGTAGTACTCATTCACAACGCGTGTTTGTTTACAATATTTACGCCCGCCAGAGTTCACTTACTCTCAACACCGATGCCCTACACACCGTGCCTCGCGAGTCGGGCCGGCCGGCGCCAGCCGATCAACCTCATTACCAGCGCAATATCGCACCACTTCCTCGCGTCGTCCGCTGTGTCACTCATAACTGAAGAACACAAAATGTGCGCTCACGAGGCAAGGAAGCATAAGAACTTTCGTAC